TTACGGGTTGCAATGGTGAAGCCAACTTTTGGCGGGTCAGCCAAATTATTGCCGTGGGTCATAGGTTGCCAACCACTGCACTAAATCATCTAAGCATGTACAATTAAAATGTAAATAGCTAAAAACCTAAAATGATGGTAAGTCATTAAAAGAACCAGATAACAAGTTTAATTCACAAAAAATAGGTTGCTTTGTGTTACATGTTTCAGAAAGTACAAATTTAAACAGATATAAATTGAAAAATTTAAATGATTACTGTCAAAATATTTAAAAATTCTCATTACAACATCTAAATATTATTTCTTAAGCACAATAATAATAATATTATTATTTTAAATGCTTAATATATGTATGTTTTATTTTTATTGCAAAAATTGGTATTAAATATAAGCAAATATTGAATGATGACAAAAATAACTTGTTTATTCACTTTCTAGTCAACACAAGGCACTTGAAATTAAAAGATCCCAAAGCTACCAAAGATACTTCAATAATTATTAAAAGGTCATAAAAGTTCTAAATCCTAAGCCTTCTCATAAGACATCCAAATTCAAGCCAGAAAGACATACACAAAAAAATCAAAGCAATTGACTCATTAAAACGTAAGGCCAGTACATTATCAATAATTGACTCATTAAAACTTATTGATAATGTACTGGCCTTACGTTTAATGAGTCAAATATTTGTAAGAAAAAATGGTGTAATACAGCAATGTAAAGTAAATGCATTTAATAACCAATACAAGAATTGTATAGAATTGAAACTTTTCTTTGATAATCAGTATGTAAACAACAGTTTAAGTTTCTCTTCCTTGGTGGATCAGTGGTAAGCTTTAGGGCTTATAACACTAAAAATTGGGGTTCAATACCTGCCATGGGTACATGAAACAAATAAAGAGTACACTGTATACATTTGTTATTTTGCCTTTACATGGACCTGGTAACTGCTGTATAATTATTGGTTTTTGTTGTATTAGACTAGTTAACTAATAAATCTGTTTTTAGACTTTTGCTGGTATAATTGTTTTATCAACCTGTGCACATAATTATTTGCTTTGTTGTGTATTATATATATTTGTTGACTACTGTATATTATTTTTATAAATTATTGGATTTGCCAACTGTGCGGATGTTTTTGTTCTTTCCCTTTATTAGACTTTGTAACTCCCGTATAACTGTCTACCCTGTGTTTTTTACTTGTTAGCTACTGTATAATTGCTTGTATTGGACTTACCTAATATTTATTTGATGTTATACTCTCGATACATGTAATTTAAAGAGTGAGCATTGTAATCATTAGTCTTAGAGAAAGAACCTAATATTACCCTCATTTCTCTTGTTCTTTATTTTAGATACACGTATGGCCAACCTGTAGCAGGATCTTTAAAGATTAGGGCTTCATACTTAACATATCACTGGGAGAAAGAACCTCCAGCTTCTGTCGAACATGAGACACAGGTGAAGGATTTTTTTTTCTTCTTGAAGCTCTTTTCTTGAATAATCAAAACAGGAAATTGGTTAAAATTGTGAATATACTTGTAATTAAAATTTGTAGTTTGTACTTTTGTCCACATCTCAGCTGTTAAGTATGGCTACAACTATTTTGGTAGCTGTTAGACTTATTGATAATGTACTGGCTTACACTGTTACTTGAACTGTTTCTATGTTCTTTAAAGTGTGGTATTCTGTATTTTATCCCTTGTATTTAAGTACTTTTGTGCTAGCAAATTTGATGGGTTGGATGAACGTGTAAAGATTATTCCATATAAATAACATGATGTGTAAAGTATTGTTTCCGTTGGATGAACGTGTAAAGATTATTCCATATAAATGACATGATGTGTAAAGTATTGTTTCCGTTGGATGAACGTGTAAAGATTATTCCATATAAATGACATGATGTGTAAAGTATTGTTTCTATTGAATGAACGTGTAAAGATTATTCCATATAAATGACATGTGTACATAATTCTGTACATAATGTGTACTGCAGAGTACATAATTCTTCTGTGATTCATGGCATGCTCACGTTTTACTGACGTCACTACATTACAAATTGCAAAGTTAAACATCCCTCTTATGACGTAATTTTAGTGTGTACTGACTGACAACACACTATTGTATAATGGTGTGAGTGGTTAAAACAGGTGACCTCTACAAACAGCCTTCGGTCCTCTTTTGAGCAAATTTTCCAACACTTAATGCAGTTTAAAGATAATCAGTTTCTTTAAGAATAAAATTTAATTTTTTTATGTGTTTAAAAAACTTCTGTTTTACTTCTAACAAAACTCAGATTTCAAAATATTTTTTTTTTATAGTGCTACCAAAATTCAAGGTTTCTATTGTTCCACCTTCATACTTGCTGGCTGATGTTGAAACCATTTCGTGGAAAATCTGTGCAGAGTAAGTGGAAACAATACTTTACACAACATGTCATTTATATGGAATAATCTTTACACGTTCATCCAACGGAAACAATACTTTACACATCATGTCATTTATATGGAATAATCTTTACACGTTCATCCAACGGAAACAATACTTTACACATCATGTTATTTATATGGAATAATCTTTACACGTTCATCCAACAGAAACAATACTTTACACATCAAATAAAAGAAATGTACACTGACCATATTCTTCAACTTTAAAATTCAAATAGCGGGTAACTTGTCCGACCGTAACTTTGATCGTCCACTGAAGTTATTTCTTGTCAATTTCTATTATACATAGCTATTGTGCAGCTGGAACTCCCTCTACCAAAAGAACCTGTTTTAGGGAATGTTGTTTTTTTTGTAAGTTATTTCTTGTCAATTTCTATTATACATAGCTATTGTGCAGCTGGAACTCCCTCTACCAAAAGAACCTGTTTTAGGGGTAAGTCCATTTTGAAATGAATTATCGTGAACTGTAAAGATGTATGTATACATCTATCTAATGGTTTACACATGTAGCATCACTGTCTGGCTTCCGTTGTTGTTTGTGGTGATGTAAGTCCATTTTGAAATGAATTATCGTGAACTGTAAAGATGTATATATACATCTATCTAATGGTTTACACATGTAGCATCACTGTCTGGCTTCCGTTGTTGTTTGTGGTGATGTAATTTATGACAATAGGTTGAGTGACCAATCATTTTAATTTCATATCGCTTATCTGATCATTGAATATCTGATTTACATAAAAGTTAACTAAGAAGAGTAACTGATATTATTTTGTACCATGGTTTTGTTTTATCATGGCCTGAAAAAGTCCAATTCACCTCTAATTGTTTTGAGAAGCATACTAGGTAATAAATATCTTGTAGTATAACCAGATTTGAGTTAATAACCAATATAGATCACCATTAACTGTATTAATTTGCTCACTGAGGAGGCAAACTCTTTTTTGTTTTGTCAAGTAGTTATTAGAATAGGCTGTTGTTTAGACTTATGTTTTTAGTTTTTGTTCTCTCTGAAGGGAATAATGACAAACGAATCATGGTAGTAATTTAGATGTCAGTTTTTAAGAAATCTAAAAAATTAAAGAAGCTGTAAAATTATGAAATTAATTCAAGAACAGTACTTTTTTTGAAGTTCAGAGACATTTATTTTAATGTTTTCAGTTTGATAGTGATGTCAACCTTAGTTCTACTTATTTCAAGTTTAGTGAGTTGGGTAAAAATCTGTTTTATTATCCACTCATGTGTACCTCATTCAAAGAATCAATGCCAGCTGTTCTGCTGTTTTTTATCAAGCTTAACTGCTTTATAGTAAGGTTGGGCAAAAATAAACACACAGAGAAGATCTTTAACTGTAAAAAGTAAGATGAACAGAGAGTATAGAGTAAATTATCAATAACATCAATGGCTAGACTTGTTCTTTGAACTTTAAATGCCAGTATTGAAAAAAATGGTTATCTACCATATAGATTCTAATTCAAGGGTTCTTGGGTATGGTTCTGATCTCCAGGGCACTTTCAGGAGTTCTTAGGTATGGTCCTGATCTCCAGGGCACTTTCAGGGGTTCTTGGGTATGGTTCTGATCTCCAGGACACTTAAATGGGTTCTTTAGTAAAGTTCTGATCTGCAAGGCACTTATAGGAGTTCTTGGGTATGGAACTGATATCCAGGACACTTAAAGGGGTTCTTTGGTACAGTCCTGATCTCCAAGGCACTTTCAGGGGTTTTTTGGGTAAGGACCTGATCTCCAGGACACTTAGAAGGACAAGTCTTATTCCTGGTGCTAAGTCATTTAAAGAAACTTGAAGTTTTGCACAGTTTTCAAAGAAATATACTTAAACAGTACTGTCTTCCAAATTAATATTAGTATTTGATGAATTATATGATAAGAACTGGAACTATCAAAATATTTTTTAATAACTGAAATTCCTCAAGTCAAAAGCTTTGATTTATGTACTTGGTTTTTCCATTTGGAGCCATGTCCTAAAGTCTTTATTACATCCTTATTTATAGTATGTTTTTGCCTTTATATCCAACATAAATATTTGATCCCATTATTAGCTTAATTGATTTCAACAAAGAGAAATATTTGACTGGATGCTTTTTGTGTCAGTTTAAGTATAAATCCTTCTGCTGGAACAATTATAGTCTTATCTTGCACCTGTAAATAAAGGGAATGTTGGTTTTTTTGTGATGTTTAAGCATTTCTGCTTGGAATACGAGAATGTTTCGATCTTTTTCAATTCATCCAAGAGAATACTGTTGGTTCTTGCACTTGTTTAAGAACACTAGTTTCTAATTTTAAGATCTAAAGTAGATAATTTGAGATCTACTGATTAATCTTCCGGTAACCATACAATGAATTAAAGCACCATGATGGCTTTGTAATATAATGAATTTGTTCATTTATCAAGAGCTCAATAGTTTGGTTTTACACACATTCCTAAATTCATACAGAAGGCTGAAACTTCTATAATTTCTTCGAATGAGACGAACGACGATGTATTTATTTAAACGAGCAAACTGGAAACTGCTATTACAGTGGAAAGTATCACTCATGGAAAGAAGAAAGTAATCGTAATGTCAAGAAACTCGAAGAGCAACCAGTAAACAAATAAACCATTCACCTCTTCTAGTCCTTTCTTCGTGCGAGATGGTATTTTATCCAATCATCGTTAATAATTTATCTTCCTTTCTTCTTGACTTTTCAAGGTGATCAGGTCATTATCTCGAACTACATCCCGCTTGTACAGTCAAGGACAAGAGTTTACAGACATTCCTTATAGCTAGGATTACAAGCACATTTCGGAGTGTGCGTTGAAAGTGATAGGACGATCCTCTTAGTCAAGGACAGATGGGGTAGATACCCGAAGAACAGGTTTTTCCAGCAGTACCACGTGCCACCTTATCCCCTGACAACATACCAATGGAGAGAGAGAATGACGTCTTATTTTATAGAGCAGGTTATTTTCCATCTAATTAAAAGGAAAATGTGGGTTGTCTTTAGATAGAGAGATAGACAGACAGATAGGAAGAATTAGAACGATGCTTATCAATAAGAGTTTTATTATGTATGGTGAAGAGTTGGATTGTGGGTGTTGTTAGAAGATCAAGAATCAGAAGTATGGTGTTATATTCGAAACTTTCACTTTTATAAATACACATGAGTGACACAAATGATCGGTGTCGTCCCTGATTCTTGGAGGTTTAGGTGTTAGCTCTCTGATAAGTTGAAGTAACCATTCATCCATTTTTGTTACTTGGAAACGATTACTCCACGTAAGTGGTGATATGGAACACGTTTCATGAATAATAACCTATAGTAACACGTAACTGATGTTTATAAAGAAACGGTGGAATGGCATTCAAGCTTGAAGAAAGCTTAAAATGTTGGAATTTTTGTTAACTAAAATTCCAGTTTAAGAAAAGTACCGCCTTATGTGTATTTTCTTTCTACATAACAGACATGCAGAAATTATAAAATGTAGAATGAACGTTTCAAATAAGTACACCACGTTTTGAATCGGTTCGTTTCTCTGCCATAGTTTTTATATCACACTTTAAGAAAGACGATATTCAGTAAAATTAAAGACATTTTTAAAAATCTTGCTTTAAACAGGTATAATGAAATTTAGAGATGATTTGAATGGGTTTGTTTGTTTTTTCTTGTTGTTGTTTTTTTTTAATTTCGCGCAAAGCCACACGAGGGCTATCTGCTCTAGCCGTCCCTAATTTAGCAGTGTAAGACTAGAGGGAAGGCAGCTAATCATCACCACCTACCGCCAACTCTTGGGCTACTCTTTTACCAACGAATAGTGGGATTGACCGTCACGTTATAACGCCCCCACGGCTGAAAGGGCGAGCAGGTTTGGTGGGACGGGGTTTCGAACCCGCGACCCGCAGATGGCGAGTCGAGCGCCCCTAACCACCTGGTGGCCATGCCGGGCCTCGTTTATGTTGCAACTTCATGTTAAAATTTAGGCTTATCAGTGACGGGGATTCGAACCCGCGACCCGCAGGTTGGGAAATTTGATGGGTATCGAAGAAAACTTTACTACAAGTTTAACACTTTAACAAATGTACCACATTTTGATACGTTATCGTGTTAATCTTGTAATAAACGTCTTTTGTTTTGTTTTTTGTTACCAGTTCTCTAAATTGTATTAGTCTCAAAGCGGTTTTATCGTCATCAAAATTAAGTGTTTATTAAAGATCACTGCTGTGAAAATAAATTATATCACTAGATGGCAGCACCTATAAAGTAAAGAAAAAGTTTTTTGTTTTTTTTAGCAAAGCCACATTGAGCGATCTTGCTCTGTCCACCACGAGAAATCAAACCTCGGATTTTAGCGATGTAAGGACGTAAACTTACCGCTGTTCTACCGGGGGACAGATAACAACAACAAGGAGAAACAAGTGAAAGCTCATGCCACGATTTACAAGGGACTGTTATAGAGAAGCAAAACTTTGTTTGTTGTTGCACTAAAAATAAAATTATTTTTTGGTGCAGTCCTTAAACTTTACGTTTCTGTAATCAAGGAAGAGTAGTAAATCTCCCAAATAATATATTTGCAATATATCACATTGCTTTGTTCTTTATTATGAAAATAGCCACTGGTGGCTCAATGATAAGTCTCACAGCTTACAACGCTAAAGTTTGGGTTTTGACATCTGCAGGTAGCACATCGTATAGCTTGGTGCTAAAAAACAAATGGATATTGTGAAAAATCGAAAAAGTCCATAAACATATTTCATTAAAACATTGTTTCTTCGGGATTTTAGACAGCTTGATATGTACACCAGAAAAAGTGTATCCATTTCATTCTGTGAAAAGCGATTAATTACTGTTGGGTGTTAGTTTTATAACTCCAATATTAGTCTATAATTTCAGCAATATGACATTTTTTTTCTGTTTGACGCAGTTCCTATGAAATCTAGAATACAATTTCTTTTACCAAGCTCAAGATGTAGAATATAATATAGGATTATATGAGAGATAAATTATAAGGATATTTCTTCTTCTAGATGTTAATAGTAGTTTAAAGGGCTATTCCTTCTTCTAGATGTTAATAATAGTTTAAAGGAATATGCCTTCCACCTGGATGATAATAATAATTTAAAGGGACATTTCTTCCACCTGGATGGTAACAGTAATTTAAAGGGATATTCCTTCCACCTGAATGGTAATATTAATTTAAAGGGTTATTCTTTCCACCTGGATAGTAATTGTAATTTAAATGTATATTTCTTCCACCTGGACAGTAATAGTAATTTAAAGGGATATCCCTTTCACCTGGATGATAATAGCAATTTAAAGGATTATTCTTTCCACCTGGATGATAATAGTAATTTAAAGGGCTATTCGTTCCTCCTGGATGGGAGCCAAGTACAGCCCAACTCTACCACCTAATTTGGTCTTGACTTATAAATTTGATTTTATATTATCTAGACTTGCATTTTAACAGCCATTTTTTCCCCCTGTTTCGTCGCTTTAACAGACGATAGTTTTAATTCTTTTCCTTCTTTCTACATTTTCGAACACTAGACTTTCTGGTAGTTTAAAATAAACAGTTAACGAGGAAATTGCATTATCAGCTCCTATTAGCCTTGGAACGTTGATGAGAAAAGCTTAGGTGATGAAACTTTATATGGCTTCATGTGTGGAAAATCGCTTGTTGCAGTTTAGAGACATTCTTATGTCTTTATGTTTTTCATTCTTCGAAACTTTGGTTCAAAGCTGATAATGGTGTATTTTTTATGTAATGTGTGCTTATATAATTTCATCACCGAAATGAGCGCTAAATTTAACTGAAAAGCCTCAAATTCACCCTCTCGAAATTAAAGATTAATAAAATATTTATATATCTCAAACTACACCGAGCTTATATCTTGATCTTAATTAAACTGTTAAGTGGTGTATGTTTTCCCAGTGTGGTTCTAGTTATTGGTAATTTATTACGGTTTTTTCTTTCAGAGGTTTTATTCTTACAGCACCAAAAATTCTCACTAGTGGATCAACCCAACCACTGTCATTAAATCTATTCAATATAAACGCAGACGGTACTGTCAAAATTGAACTACTGCGGGAGAAAGAAGAAGAAGTCATAGCTGAAACTGAGACTTTTGTCCAGAAAGGTGAGAAAAGTTGAAACAGGAAAACTCACATTCATAATTTTCAGAAAACAAGAATAACATTTTTTATACCCGATTTATTTGCCTTTCTATTTATTTTCTCAAGCACTAAATTGGACGTTTTCATTACTTTGCATATCGACAATGAAGATAAAAGATTATATCTTTGACATTTTTCAGTTAAAACTGAAAATACTCAATAAATTGATTTATTAGGCTTATTAGCAACCCCCCAGTGGCTCAGCGGTATGTCTGCAGACTTACATCGCAAAAAATCGGGTTCCGATACCCGTGATGGACAGAGCACAGAGAGCTTTTTGTGTTGTTTTGTGCTTAATAATAAAACAACAGCCTATTAGCACAAGTAATTAAGTAAGAATGCTAACAATTCTCATCCCCAAACTTATTCATATGAATGATTATAATGTTCTTATGATGTAATGTCGATATTATTATCATTATTTTGTTTCAACCGCATTCTTCCTTTATACTCATGAAAGTGTTGATGTTTTCCGATTGTATATATATATTTAAGGTATATTTTCTTTTTCACCTTAGGTGAAATTGAAAAGAGAATATGTAACGTAGAGGCTTAATATATTCTCTGATTGGCCTACCCTCTGCTGTGTACTGCAGTTTCGCCTATTCATGGCTCATCAGCACAGCTTGGGTCAGCGAACTACAGAACTATCATTAAGCCTCATATAACGGTGAACTGTGTATAATATTTTATCTTTTCTGTACTTTTACGCAGGTGTCACTCCATCCTTATTTTTGGACGTTCCAGAGACATCAGATAGCAATGGTCGTCTGCGTATTACTGGAGAATTTGGTGATGTAGAGGGTGTATACGTAATTAACAAAACGAAAGAAATTCACCTGCGAAAACAAAATATAATTATATTTCTTCAAACAGACAAGCCAATATACAAACCCGGACAAACAGGTATATACAGATACACGCACAAAATCGTTGACTACTATTTTATAAACATATTACTGCTATTATGTTACCTTTTATGATTACGCTTTTTTGTGGGGTCTAATATCGTCATTATCGGTATAAGTATTCATAAATTCATAAACTTTTAAAGGGGCTTATTAGCCCATCAAGGTTGTCCCTTTCAGCTCTCATCTATAACCACTCATTTCTACACATGTATTTATCCAATCTTTTCTTGAACTCAGTTAAATTTTCTGCCTCCACCACCCTTGAAAGCAGCTTATTCCAAAAGCCAACCATCCTGTTTGAAAAGTCGTACTGTCAAAATTGCATACGACTTTTGTGCTGGCAAAATTTGGATTTATGACCTCTTGTCCTATTGTTTTCACTACTAAACAAAATAATAATAATCTTAAACACCTCAATCAATTCCCCTCTGACTCTTTTCCTCTCCAGAGAAAACAAGTGAGTGATTATTGGATCATTACACCAAGATCTTTTTATTTAACCACAATATTTAATATATTCCCATTTAAATTGTAACAATAATTTGAATTGTGAAAACCTACATGCATCACCTTACATTTTGGATGGTTAAACATCGTCTGTCATGTATTGGCCCAAAACATCAAATGATCTAAATCTCCCTGTAAGTTTGCAGCATCTTTGATACAGTTAGCCATCCTAAAAATCTTAACCAGGCTAGGTACGTTTTTTATTTTTTTGACACCATAGTGTTTTCAGTATTTTAATTAAGAAGGTAAAAGCTACGGACAGTGTATTAATATTATTGTTACACAATCGTCTTAAATAACATAATTCCACTAATAGTTTATTGATATCGTTCCAGCATACACAAAGAAACCAAAATTTCTTATTCATTGTTTTCAAAGCATCATATATAAGTATCACATAGATTAAAGAATATACTTAGTTACTATTATATTATAATGTCTGAAACACTAGGAACACAATTGGTGAGTTATGGATACAAGTTAAAATTGAAGACATAGTTATAGACTGGGAATTAGTGGAAATTGGTTAGATTTGACAAACATTGATTATTGAATCATTTGAAAAATTCTATGACATAAGTTATTTAATTGTGGTTTATTTTTAATGGGGGGGGAGGGGTAAAGTGGTTCCTTATATAAGGGATAAACTGCTGCTTATTAGGATTAAAGATGTTAATCAATAGGCTGAATCTATATAAGTTACAAAGAGGGTGTTGGTCAAGGATAGAAAGCTTTTACCAGGTAATTGCTGTCGGTCATGTGATCAGACAGATGAGGTCAATAAGAAATTGTATAATGAGATCATAGTTGTTATTAATGAGAATACCAATACATTTTATGGCTGACTGAGTTTAGATCGTGATGTATGGAGTCAAATAGTGAGGGAGAGAGATTTCTCCCCAGATAGTAGGCTTCACTTCTGACTATTCTAGTTTTAATAACTGTTAACGAAGATGTGATTGTAAGTGTTGAAGTGTGTGTGTGGGGGAATATTTTAAAAACAAGTTGCCTCTAGTTCAATATAGGCATGTTCCTAAAAAGAGTTAGTGTGTAATCTAGTTACACACTGAAAGACAAAAAGGTACTGTGTGTGGCTGTATTATAAAATGTCTTTACTATTTTAAGATATTCATGATGTTTAATATTTTTTTGACAGCTATGGAAAAAGAATAAATGTATATATTGAAGAGAAATATTTCCACTTACCAAATAGCTTTTAATTTTGTCTTTGTGTTTACTATAACTGACAATTCTTTTTTTACCTTTTAGTTAAGTTTCGAGTTTTGCCCGTTTTAAACACTCAGCTGAAGCCTATTGGTGGTAAAGAGGTTAGTGTTTTATTTTTGAATATCAGATGTCTGAACAGTATCTGCATTGAATGTAGTCATATGCATTTTATTGATATTTTAATAATAGATTTTTTTAATGTTATTAATAATTATTGCAGTCAGCAAATTGACATAAATGTTTGATTTGGGAAAAGTTATGTGTCAAATGTCTTGACGTTATCATCAGTATGTATGTGTGTGACATTAGAAACCTAACTCGTACATTGACCTGTATTTAGTAAAAAACTAACCTATTTTGTCTCAATTATATAAAATGACCAGGTATATCATTTAACTGTTACGTTGTCAAGTTAGAGGAGCAACCGGCAACTGATGGTGAAAACAAAACCTACAATTTACTTAAAAGCCCCTATAGCGGCTATATTTGTCTGCTGTACACATTGTGGTGACTAAGCGTCTCTGTTTCAGTTGATTATGGTTTCTGTATTTATAATTCATTAGTAATAGTTAACAAGAACTTGAATAATTCAACTTCCTCTATCTCATTACGATTGATTTATATAGTGATCAGAGATAGGCAGAATATAACAACAGAATTATTTGGGTTAGGTATACACTATGGTACTGAATGTCTTAAGTCATACTTTTCAGATGGTTTCATTATCAATAATTGGATTCAGAAAAGAAATACAGAACTTGGTTACTAATGTAGAGCTAGTTAAACCTGTCTCTTGGCATTTCTTTCCAAACTCTTCACAATAAAGCTATATTTTTTTAAAGGAAACCCTAGCCTAATAAGTGTGTGTGTGTGTATTTTAAATGCTCTCACATGAGGGACTGTGGCAGTCAGTTAAGGATCAATTGATGAATTGTAAACAAATCATGAATATATTTAGTATCTTGAATCCTTTCAATCCTTATAACTTCAGTTAATCTGTTGACAACTGTTGGTTAAATTACATGGTTTGTTATACTTCAGTATTCATATAAAGCTTTTCAACTTTTGACGAGTATTTTTATCTTTAAAGTGTAAATTTTGCAGCATTATTTCTTTACTTTCTCCTGCACGTAATTGGATCCCTCCAGACTTTGTTATTGTACTTCTAGCACATTAATCCAATATCTGCTGAGGAGCTATCATACTTGATTACTGGATAAAAAAACAAAGGAAATCTTGAGGTATTAATACCTATCAATTAAACTTTAGATAATTCCTTTCTAAGTGTTTAATATATATTTGTGTATTTTGTTTTTCAGCAAGGAAAAATATGGATTGAAGATCCAAAAAGAATACGTGTGGCCCAGTGGTTAAATGTATCATTTGCTGATCGTAAGAACATATTCATTGTTTTGCTTTGAATACATTAAACGTGCTATTTATTTTTATTATGCTAAGGGTAAGAGTTCAAGCTCTTATCTAGTAACTATCAGTGTTACGCATGTTTCCGAGTCATAAAAACAGGGCATTTGGTAATGGTTAGCATTTAGTATAACATATAACAGGATTGTTTATTTTGCATATCAAGTTTTTCAAAGAATATAAAATCTAAAATAGTGTTTGTGTTCCATAATTAAGATATACGCTATTCTTTCCTTAATGTTAATTTTATTAACAACAATATTTAGTGCATCGGTTTCTATTGTGTTCAATTTGTTATTATTATATTTTTATCATAGCAATTATTTGGAATTTGTAACATAGTATATGGATTTAGAACTATTCTAATTTTCCTGAGTTAGCTAAACTTTATGAGATATTATTCAGATTATGGACAAAGATATTGCTAGCATGGAGGTTATCCAACTAATGAATTATTGCATTCTGAGTATTATAAGTAGAAATGAAGAAACGGTATACTTTAATTATCTTTGTTGACGTTTAGTTCTGATCAGTGTAAGTAGTTTGCTTTGGACTTCGATCCCATTGAGCATGTAAGGGATTCTCGTGGAAGATCCATCACATTCTATTAAAATAGCTCTCTCAAAATAGTAGTGAGGATAATGTGGGACTTTATGAAACTGTGATTTTACACATGTAGCATCACTGTCAGGCTTCCGTTGTTGTTTGTGGTGAAGTAAGTCCATTTGGAAATGAATTATCATAAACTGTAAAGATATATATATATATATACATCTATCTAATGGTTTACACATGTAGCATCACTGTCAGGCTTCCGTTGTTGTTTGTGGTGATGTAAGTCCATTTTGAAATGAATTATCATGAACTGTAAAGATGTATATATACATCTATCTAATGGTTTACACATGTAGCATCACTGTCAGGCTTCCGATGTTGTTTGTGGTGAAGTAAGTCCATTTTGAAATGAATTGTCATGAACTGTAAAGATGTATATATACATATATCTAATGGTTTACACATGTAGCATCACTGTCAGGCTTCCGTTGTTGTTTGTGATGAATACACCAAGAAATGTTAACATTCAAATCACGAACAATAAATTATCGAACATAAATATTTGGAAATACTGAATACATTAATAACAAATGTAGTAGTTTTAAAATTATTCACGTAGGTATACTGAACATCCAAGTAACAGTGACAACATTCTCAGTTATTTCCACTCAGAGATATTGAACATCCAAACCAAATTCATGACAACTTGTTTCATGCACACCTGGATGTACTGAACATCCAAACCAGATTCATGACAACTTGTTTCATGCACACCTGGATGTACTGAACATCCAAACCAGATTCATGACAACTTGTTTCATGCACACCTGGATGTACTGAACATCCAAACCAGATTCGTGACAACTTGTTTCATGCATACCTGGATGTACTGAACATCCAAACCAGATTCGTGACAACTTATTTCATGCACACCTGGATGTGCTGAACATCCAAACCAGATTCATGGCAACTTGTTTCATGCTCACCTGGATGTACTGAACATCCAACTATATTCATGACGACTTGTTTCATGCACACCTGGATGTACTGAACATCCAAACCAGATTCGTGACAACTTGTTTCATGCACACCTGGATGTACTGAACATCCAAACCAGATTCGTGACAACTTGTTTTTATGCACACCTGGATGTACTGAACATCCAAACTATATTCATGACAACTTGTTTCATGCACACCTGGATGTACTGAACATCCAAACCAGATTCGTGACAACTTGTTTCATGCACACCTGGATGTACTGAACATCCAAACCATATTCGTGA